TTAAATGGTCTTTACTTTTACTCCCGATCAACAATCAAATATCTTTCCTTGAATTATGAATAACATGAATGGATTGAAATATTTAATTAAATTATCTCAAAATGAACCTTCATTTCGGTGCAATATTGAAATTAGTTTGAATTCTTCATAACCTCTGAATAGTGGGTGACCCAACGGGTCACAGGTTGTCTAGTTTTAACTACAAATACTGCATACACACAACTTAATGCATTGAATTAAAAGAAGATTATAGCTATACATGCCATGAAAAAGTGGTCAAGCCATAGCCTGACTGACTTTTCCGCATTTTACGGCCATGCTATATCAATATTAGTTACTTGTGGTGAGTAAAGAACAATATGCATTTTATATTTACGTTTTGTATTTATATACATATTTCCATTACGAAAATATAACTCATCTGTTCAGACACTAAAATAAAATATTACAAGCTACAGAAAATAGAGCAAATTTGTATATATAATCAAAAAGTTCTATGTAAAGTTGAAAAACTTAATTTTAGATAAAACAAAACAAAAAACTGTAACTATATTTAAATAGTAATTAAAACTGTAACCAACGTAAAAATAACGTAATAAAATGTAAGAGAAAAATTTCCTCATTTTTATTTAATCAAACTATAAAATCAAACACCAACAAATACAGGGTGATTATCGAAAATAAAAAGCAACAAAGAAATCTAATGGTATTAAAACGTATATTTTTAGACTACTGAATACACTTACTTAGGGTAAGCTGCGTCATAGAATGGAGTCTGTAGAATACCAGCTGGAAAGACTGAAGAAAAAACACATTATGTTTGACAGAAACTTGTAAAGTTTGTTTTATTTATGCCCATTCAAGTAAATTACTCCACTTTTAAAAACACCATACTTAAATAGGCTTCAGTTTCAAAAGACGAGCAACTAAGAAACTAAAACTGGACTGTATTCAAATCTAGGTAGATTTTTAAACTAGTTATTTACTAAAATTCTCGGGGAAAATTATTTAATGAAATATCCGCTGAAAAAATCATTAAGTTTTATATAATGGAAGTTATAAATCTAGCTTCTATTACACATGAGATAAATATAATAAATCTCTCCGTACCTAAAATCTTCAGTTCTAAACTAGCAAACAAATGGGTTTTAAAATGTGTAACTAATCACAAATTATTTAGCTGATATGTATCATAAAAGTTCAAATGTTGAAATTCGATTTTGCTTTCACTAAAACTGTTTTAAGAATTTGTGACATTTGAAAACACTCAGCTACATTTACTATGATTTGACATAAAATTCGTCAGTATTAGAAATATTTGAAACACTAACCAATTTGATTTTTTGTAGCAGTGTAATATGCATTAACTGTAGGTGGCGTCATTTCCCACTCTGTTTTATTGGCTGGTTTGTCCAGGCGTTTCATATTTCTTAAAAGAGAAAATTTGCTGACCCGGATGTTGTTCTCAAAATATTCATCCTGAATGAAAGTGAGCTAGAAGAACCAATAAAATGTCAGTCTGTAACGAAATTTACAGTCTGTAACATTAATTTACATGAAAACTAAAAGAGTACTGGACTGTTTTCTTTTGGATTATTTTGTAAAAATAAATTTTCCAAATAATTCGAAAGCGAACTGAACTTATTTTATTTTCTTTATTGTGAATGTAAATAATTCAAGTTATAATATTCATCCTTGCTACAAGTTATTGTTTTATATCCCAAGTTTATAAATAATAAAATCATATTGGGTAGCACTGGATACTAACTTGAATTCATCATTAAACTAAGAACGTTTAGTTTTGGAGCTATTCAGCCGTTACACTTTCAAATGTTATATTCTTTGGGTAACTTTCTAAATGCATCACGAACTATACTGTAATAAATTCACGGAACAGAAGTAACAACGTCACAAGATAACAAGGACTTACTCCTTCGTATTTTGCATCCAGTTTTTCAGGGTTCATGATGAAGTCTGGGAATCCAATCATGTCGGTGATTGCGTCAGCCTATAAAAAAAAATCAGAATAGTCAGTTGCAATTACTATTAAAATGTAACTGGAACTACGAAGCTGCTTTTCTTAATCCTCTCTTCGTCATAGAAAACTGTCCTGCTGTTATCTATGTCTGGATATCACTAGAATGGCTCAGGGTTTGACTCCTTACACTCATACATATACACATGTTAGGCATCTGCTCGTTTGTTAATTTCCGGTATAAATTCTTTCTGAGGAACTTCAGCGATACAAGTCCTTTCTTGATTAAACCAGTTTATTCTTTCTTGATACAACTTTTTAAGTTTTCTTCTCCATTGGAAGGCCCATATGACATAGTGGATCGTCTCTCAGACGTGACTTTCCGAATAAAATGTGGTCGGCGAGGTAAGCCAAAGGTGGCGCATGCCAACAGGCTTTGGCGTTATCACGGTCCAGGACATTTCAGTTCGAACGAAGTGAACAACTGAACAAATGACGCTGCTGAAGACGTGTCACCTGAAAAAGCCACTGTTAATGAAGAAACTCTACACGGTTTAGAGAAGGGAAACGGTGAAGCCATTAATGAAGTTACTACCACTGATGTGACTGTTACCGATAATGGGACATTTCCTGATGGAGCAGATGAACCACACGTGAAGCAGAAGCCAACGAGATAGAGACCAGTACGGAAGAAGATACGTCCCATAAAATTAAGAGACTTTGTTGAATTTTAATTTTGTGTTTGTAAATTCTGTACATTTAATTAAGCTATTGTTAATTATCCATTGGTTTAATGTAAGTGGCTATTGTTCGGGACGAACAATACTAAGGAAGGGGCAGTGTTACGACAGCAGAAGTCACGCGACGTTGGAAGCATGCGTGCTGGAGTTTCTAGAAGGATCATGAGTGTTCCTGGTAACTCTAGTCTTTCCTAGGCGCCCTCTATTTTAGTATATAAGCCCGGCAAATAAAGCGGAGATAATAATTGGATATAGATGGAGATAGAGACGGATAATTGAGTCAAGTGAGCGGTAGTGACCGTAAGTAAAGATCGTGAACCGTTGTGAATTATAGCGTGTGTTTAAGTTAAAGTGACTGTGAAAATTCTGTGTATTATAAGATTGTATCGAGAAATAATAAACTAGTTTTAATTAAGAAAGGACTTGTATCGCTGAAGTTTCTCGGAAATTTTTACGGGAAATTATCAAACAAGCAGATACGTAACAATATTATACTATTGTTCTCCAGTTATTTGCATAACACTTTAACATTTGCTATTTGAAAATTAGTTGAGAAAACGGCATGCTATTAATGCTATTTGGATGTTTTTGTCCCAGTTACATTCTCTTAAGTTTATACCTGTTTGCAGCTTTTTATTTTGTGCGATTTGAAAGCATTTACAATTGACTATACACCTATGTATTGCTATTAAGTAATTTTGTGGCTCTGATATTTCGACCGCTTGTAGTTGATGTTGATATTAGAGTTAATATATATATATATAAATATTCAAATTTGGGTTGGGTTTGTTGGTAACACTTTCACAGCTTTAGCATCGCTTTTTAGCCAATATATATTAATAACGATACATAATAATATAATACATACAATACATATACTCTTTAACAAAGTCTAAATATATATATAAACACAAACATTCCAGTAAAAATATTCTAAAAATCAATATTAATAATAACTATACATTATACAAGATCCATAAACAATTAAAACATGTAAAGAATAAAACACAATTTAAAAACATAAGAAATTCACAAGTTATTTAAATATGATTAAGTTACCTTTTTTATGAAAAAACTTTTATAAGAGATATTAGATAAGATAAGATATTAGTATTGGTAATATAATCTAAACTACAGAGTCGACATCTTAAGTTCTTTCATTGAGTAATACCCTTCTTGCTTATTTTCAGTATTTTGCTCATAACAAATAAACGGTCAATTTTTTTAGATTGTCTATAATTTAGAATAATATTAACATTACTTACAGCTCTTCTTACGGTGTTAGAGATAAAGGAGGCAATCAGACTCTCGCACTCTTTAATATTAACTTGTAACCTTGGGTACACGTAGAAATATATAGCAGTAGTTCTGACTGATTATAAGTATTAGCTCTTAGACCACATAATTTGGCACAAGATATACAATTGTTAGTTAGGCCTCCTAGATATTTTCTATTTAATAAATGCATTTTAATTCATTTAATCTAACTTTTTTTTTTCTTTACTGATCGCAATCTGTACAACTATCATTCTTCACGTATATGGAATATTTCTTTTGACGTGTCTAGGATGTTACTTCGGTTACTTCTAAAGTCCAAATAATCATGGTAATTGGTCAATTTAAAAAAAAATATCAGCTCTAAAGAGCCAGTGTCAGATATTCAAATCAATATATTCAAGAAATGTACAGTTTTATCATCCTTTCCAATAGTAAGTTTACTGGTTGTGTTAATCTAGATAATTTGAAACTTGATTAAAATCAAACCAGTTTAAATCTTCATTCAAATAATAAAACAATCAACAATGTATCTGAACCAATACGACATCACATAAGAGCTAACATTTGACTTGATTCGTTGATCAACAATGTTTTCATCTTCTTTTCTAAGAAACCCATAACGTAAATAGCATAGGTAGGTGATATTTTTGTATCCATGGTGGTTCCTCTTATCTGATGGTAAAAATCATTATTATGGATAACATAATCATTTTTGAGTATTAATGTTACAGCTTCAGTTAACAATCCCTTAGTGATTCTGTAATACAAAAGCTCTGAATAACGACCAAAAAATTTACAATTGTAATATCAAGTTCATGTTCAATATTAGTACATATAGATACTACATCTAGCATAATATAACTGTTGTTATGACTAATTTCACAGGCAATTTACATATAAAGCCTAAATAATCTTTCACATAACTTTCACAATTCATCCACAAAAAAATTAATAGGGAGAGTAGAATATCAATGTTCTGCAACAATAGGTCTATATATATAATACTAAAGCAACAAGATTTAGCAAGTTGTACGCAATCATTATTTAAATTAAAACAAGCGTCAACAATATGTTGGCATTTACGTAATTTTGGTAAAACATAAAGCACACTTGTAACCGGAATAAAATGAACTAAATAATATACTTTCAATCTATCAAGTTGTCCCTTGTGTTTCTGAGTGCAAAATTTAATGTTTTGTAATGCATCTTTATCATAATTTTACGTCTCCGTTTGTTAATTGATTTTTTTTGTAACTTTGTTCCGACGAAATTTTAACGACACAAGTCTTTACTTAATAAAACTGGTTTATTCTTTCCGAATATAACTTTACCGAAACACTCAACTTCAACAATCGCGCTAAAACAAAGGTAGTGTGTAATTGATCTGCAGTCAGAAGTATTATTGACGTTCGTTGATATAGTGCGTGTGAGTAGACTAGATATAGGGTAGGCTGGTATATAAAAGAGGGGAATGTAAAAAGAACTAGAACATTCGCCAAAGTACATGATAGTTCTAGAAACGTTGCGTCACAGTAGTCATGTGACTCGATGACGCAACAATACTTTTCTACTTTTTCACAACACTGATCACACCAAGAAGTTTTAAGAATACGTAAACTCAAAACATCCATTATAAACTTTACATGTGAGATGCAAGAGAACAATAACTTAGCTTTTTAGACGCCCAAGTAAACAAAATAAAGAATCTCTTTACCACATCTACTTACCATAAGAAAACATTTACTGGCTTTTACACTCGTTTCGACAGTTTCATACCAGATTCCTTCAAACATAACCTTGTTCTAAGTCGGACCGGCATAGCCAGGTGGTTAGGGCACTTGACTCGCAATCAGACCGTCGCGGGTTCGAATCTCCGACCCACCAAACCTGCTCCCCCTTTCAGCCGTGGGGTCATTATAACGTGATGGTCAATACCACTATTCGTTGGTAAAAGAGTAGACCAAGAGTGGTGATGACTAGCTGCCTTCCCTCTAGTCTTTCACTGCTAAAGTAGGGACGGCTAGCGCAGATAGCCCTCATGTAGCTTTGCACGAAATTCAAAACAATCAAACAAGTGCCGCATCTTGCCCTCCCCCTGCGTACGCCCATGTTAGAACCTACCAAAAAGCCACACACTGTCTCAAAATATCCACTAATTCTTATCATTCCTTTCAATCTTAAACAAAGTTTTAAACTCAAATATCAAATTCAAAAAATAATCAAACACATTACCCACAAATAAATCCACGTTTAATATTTACGTTAACATTTAGAATTAAAATTATGTTTAAAACCAAAGTAATCCACCCGAGTCTTGTATCCGATGCACAGCGAGAATAACAATCTTCGCAAACTTATAGAAGATTTTAAAATTCTCGACTCCAGAACCACAGGAACTCTTTCTTAAATAAAGCCTTTCCATTTTCACCCAACACTAAATAATAACATCAAATATTCCCTGTTGTCAGCAATGTAATAAATTCCGGATTCTCAGTGTTTTTATTTGATATTTATTATTATTTTAAATGTACACTGTTTATACTTATATTTAAGCTTTTTCTATAATAGTTTCTGTTAACAACGTTACTTATTAAATATGTGTTTGTCGCACGTTTTATCTTACATGCAATTATATTTCTACCGTTTTAATCTGTTCTTTTTTCAATTTCCGATTGAATACGAAGACTCGCTCAATGCTAATATTGATTTTTGTCGTTCGAATATTATGAACTAATTTTTTGAGACAATACCGCTGATGATTGAACATAGGAAATCCCAAAACTTCTGTATTAAAGATGTTTTTTTGGTATTATCGTGTTTTAATATTTATTATAAAATATCATAATGTATTTGTGAAACGTACAACTGTCTTGTTTTTCCTCAATTCTCTAATTATGGAGTTTCAACAAGTACCGATGGTTTCAAGTATTAGTTTTAGTTTAGTTTAGAGGATCGGACAACCGAGGTGGATCAGTAGGTCCCTTGTTGTCCTTAAACATTATTTTATATTACTATGTTAAAATCCGAGGACCGATTTCCTGAAGTGAGCAGAGCGCAGATAACCCACTGTATAACTTTCCGCTAAAAATAAATATGCAAACAATTTAGCTTTCTTTAGAGATGGCGTTGTATATTTGTACAACGTGCATGGAAGATAATGTGAGACCAACGGTATATAAATTAGTTTAAGAACATCTTCTTATTGTGATTTATAACTGTACGATGGGGCTAATACGTCTCTGTGCGTATTGCGCAATTTTTTAAGTTATATAAATCGAAGTATTTGCTTTGAAAGTTGTCACTTTAATTAAAGTATAACTTATAATTATATTGTTACCAATACGAGTGTATCAGAATGGGCAGGCTTAAGAAAAGTAAAGGAAAAATGAGACTTCATTTATCAGACAAAATGCAGAAAAAATTGAAGTCCTTTAAAAGAGAAGTTAAAATTAATCCTTTTGAGATTCAAATTAATCGACAAAAGCATCATGTTCTTGGACAAAGGTTGAAGACAGACAGGGGGCTTCCTGGAGTTTCTAGAAGCAGAGCACTCAAAAAGAGAAAAGAGACTTTGCTTAAGGAATACAAGTTGAAAAACAAAGCTAACATTTTTAAAGACAGGCGAATCGGTGAACATAATTTTGAACTTAAGGAGGATGAAAAAGCTATTGCTAGGCTTGTTCACGAAAAAAGAAGCTTAGTAAAACTGACATTTACAACCTTAATGAAGAAGAAGAGCTAACACACTTGGGACAGTCCATTGCAGAAACTGAAAAATATGATGATCCTAGAAGTGATTCTGAAGATGAAGGAACTCAGCTTGGAGCAGATTTTGTTAAGGAAGTGCACTTTGGTGGATTTTTGACAAAAAAAGATGAAAATGCTGTAGATTCAAGTGGGAAATCTCGAAAAGAAATTATAGAAGAAATGATAGCTCAGAGTAAACAGAAAAAACATGAACGCCAAACAGAACGTGAAACAACATTAGAACTAACTGAGAAACTAGATAGTGACTTTAAAAAGTTCCAAGTTTTGCTTGCAGATGTAAAAAGAAAGGAAAAAGAAGAAAAAAGTGAAAAAAATGATGATTATGATTTAATGGTAAAAGAGTTAAAATTTGAGGCTAGAGGTACAGTATCTGATCGGTTAAAGACACAGGAAGAACTTGTTAAAGAAGAAAGGGAAAAATTAGAAAAACTAGAGGCTGATAGAAAAAGAAGAATGAAAGGAATAATTGAAGAAACTGAAGTCTCATGTAAGAGTAAACATGTATCGGCTGATGATTTGGATGATGGATTATATCTAGGTGGAGATGATGTTCATATTCCAGGTGAGCAGATGAATGAGGAAGAAAATACTGAGGATTCCATAAATGATCAACAATTATCCAATGAAAAGGAAAGTCATGAAGTTGATACAGATAATACTGATGAAGCTTCTGGAAATGATGATGATAAAGACAGTTATTCAGATCTTCAGTCAGAAGGTGAGGTAAATGAAGAGAAGGATGTTATTTCTCCTGATCATGGAAGTTGTAAAAAAGATTATCTTAAATCAGATTTGAAAAAAAGGAAATTTATAATGGAAGAGGCTCGAAAAGAACTACCCTACATATTTTCTGTTCCTCAGTCATTTGAAGAATTTATGGAGCTGTTGATTGGTAGGAACCCTGTCGAAACGGGGGTTATCATTGAACGAATCATTAAGTGTAACCATCCTGAACTAGTAGCTAATAATCATGCTAAGTTAGAGAGTTTTTTTAGGATATTGCTGCAATATTTAAATGATCTTTGTGTAAGTGATGACTCCAGCTTAAATGAAATAGATATTTTAGTCCCTCACCTTTATACTTTATCTCAGTTGTCTCCCACAGCTACAGCTCAAAGTGTATTAGATGTTATTCTTGAAAAGCAAGAGAATTTTGATAGAAAATGCAAGAATAGAAGTAGTGGACATGTTAGTTACCCTGGCTTGGACAGCTTGATATTTCTCAAACTTGTAAGCATACTTTATCCAACTTCAGATTTCCGACATCCAGTTGTGACAGCAGCATCACTCTTTATGAGCCAGCTGCTTACTTCTTGTGTTGTTACCAGATACAATGATATTTATAGTGGACTTTTCTTGTGCAACCTATTTTTAGAGTATGTATCATATGCCAAACGCTTTGTTCCTGAAGCTATTAACTTTTTACAAGGAGTTTTATTTCTTGGTATCATTGAAGAAGGTCAGTTCTGTAGTGTGTTTCCTCCTTTTAAACCGTGCAGCAGCTACATCAAGTTGTCCGTGGTTAAACCACACAAAGAATGTTGGCAAAGGCCCAGCTTGATGGCCTCTCGGATCAGAAGTCAAGTTACGAGTACCGAAAATGATCATATTGCATTATTATGGTGTGCTGTTCATCTTTTAAATCAGTTTTCTTCCTTGTACAGAAGTTTACCCTCATACTCTGAAATATTTTCACCAGTTATCTTGCTGTGTGAAAAATTGCCTGTTAAAATGTTTCCTGACATTTTTATTGAAGACTTGCAGAAATTAAAGCACTGTCAAGATAATCAAGTAAAAGCCCCTCTGGTACAAGAACATAAGAAACCTAAACCTCTGAAGTTGTTTGAGCCAAGAGTTGAAAAAGTTTTTGATGGTCGAAAACAACATAGTGGGGGAAAAGATAAACAGCAGCGAGACAAGTTGTTGCATAAATACAAGAGAGAATTGAAGGGGGCAGTCAGAGAGGTTCGTCGAGATAATCAATTCCTGGCCCGAGAGTGGTTGAACGAGAAGCTGGAAAGGGATGCAGAAAGAAAAAAGAAAGTAAAAGAACTTTACCAAGGTTTAGCTCAGCAAGAGGGAGATTTCAAGGCACTGAAAAGAAAGAAAAAATAAATATCTGATGTAATATCCTTGAAAAATATGAAATGTAATAGAGTAGTTTTAAAAAATGCAAACTTTCAAGTTGGTTATTTTACATTAAGACTTAAAAGGCATACGTATGCTATGGCTATTAGTACTAACAACTTAAGAAAAACAAGTTTACAATTGTATTAATAGAAACACTACTTAAAGATTATGACCATTATAAGGCTAATCTTTGACAGTGTAATGGTACAAGTTTACAATTGTATTAACAGAAACACTACTTAAAGATTATGACTATTATAAGGCGTAAACTTGTACCATTACACTGTCAAAGATTAATAATAGTCATAATCTTTAAGTAGTGTTTCTGTTAATACAATTAAGGCTAATCTTTGACAGTGTAATGGTACAAGTTTACTCACTGTGTAACTGCTTATATAGAAGTATTTGGAGGTGAAAGAAACCTTGAAAATTAGTATAATAAGCATAGTATTCACCTTTAAGAAACATCTTATTTCATAATTATCAAATGATGAATAGAGAAGTGCTATGCTTCTCAGAATATTTTGTTGACAGTATGAATTTTGTACAATTTTAAAAATCAGATAAAAGTGAATTTTCAAAAATAATTTAATTGTTAAACTAAAACCAACAAATAAACGTTTCACATTCTGTTCTTTATATGTGTAGGTCTTGTAATAGTTTTGTCACTTTCTCATACTTGTTACTGCAGTATTTCAAGAAATATAAAGCAAACTATAGATTTTTAAATTTAATCATTTACCTGAGTATTAAAGTGTCAGAAGTTTTGAGCATTTAAAGCACAAAAATATGAACTTGAAAAAGTTGGAAATTTTAAAATGGGATCAGAAATCTTCAGTAAAATTGAAAAAAAGCATGCTGCTTAGCTCCACTAGTTACTTAATGTCTTGGTTGATCAATCTGTGTTATTTGAACTGGTGATAGTTATGTAATTCATTGTATTTGATGATAAGTTAAATATTATTTTAATAAATAATAATACAACATTTAATTGTCTGACATCAAACTCCAATGTCCTAGTTTGAAAATGTTTATCTGTAGTACTCTAGACAGAAGTATATTTTATTATCTTTGCTACACTAGTGGTGTTTGGGTAGAAGTTATGTCAATATTGTGTGTGTGCAGGTCGGGAAGAACTAGAACTTCAACTGAAAAATAAGGGACAAAGTTTCAGAAGGAACGTAGTTACCTTGATGCTTCATTTTGGATTGTGTTAAAAGCTTCATTCACTTAGTCATTCTGAACTACTAGCTAAAAATTTACTAGCTAAAACTACTTTCTAAAAATTTGTAAAACCACCAAAAAAAATATTTTAAACAGGAGTGTATATCGTCATTCAATACACAATACCAAGTGTACCTAAAGATATAATGTAAAGTGATCTTACATATTCAAAGCTAGATTGTGAAGAGTAAGATCAAGATAAAAAGAGTGTTAACTGTCATTGTAAATTAAGTCTATCCTTTTAAGTCATATTCAGTGTTGTCTTCACATAAAACTCTTTATTAGTTTAATTAAGATATTCTGAAGAATTGTCCTTATGTCATAAACTTATTTCCCATATTTATGGAGGCTTTTGCTATTTAAAAGAAACAGGTAGTAAAACATGACAGGAATATGATGTGCTTTCTGACAGGTAAACTTGGTTGAGGAATGTGATAACCTTGTAGCTTTATTTTATATAGACATCTCATGATAGGAAGGTAGTTTGTAAAGACATCTGAGGAACAGGAACGTGGCCATCTCTGTAGTTTGTATATAGATACAAAGACATCCAAGTGACGGGAACATGGCCAGCTCTCTTGTTTGTGTATAAAGATATCTTGTGATGATGGGCATATGTACAGGTGTGATGACAGGAACATGTTCAGCTCTGTAGTTTTTGTATAGACATAGACATTTGTTGAGTGATAGGAATGTGATCCATTCTGTAGGTTGTATATAGGTACAAGTAAATAAAAACGTTTCGAAAAAGAGCATAAATGTAGGGATGATTAATATCAATCTATCAAAAACAATGTAAACAATATAGTAGGGATGGTACTTGCATCAACCCTACATAAGAGGCATGCAGTGTAGTAGAATGTTAACGAACAGAAAATAAAATAAATTAAACTCAATTGTGATTGAATGGTTATATATGTATATATTGCTAAATGTTAATTCTTGTGTGTGCTATTATGCAGGGATGATGCAAGTACCATCCCTACCATCTTGTTTACATTGTTTTTGATAGGTTGATATTAATCATCCCTACATTTACTTCCTTTTTTAATACAATGTTTCAATTGACATAGGAAGGTTGTATTTATAACCAAGT